TTATGGACAAATGAGATTTCAAAGTACAGACAATGGAGGAGAAGTCGCTTCCCAGCATCCACAGCGAAGGAATCCACATCCTACAGTACAGACAAACTTCAAACAGCAAACTAGCACATCACAGTATAGACGGTGGAGGAAAAAGTAGTCTATCACAGTATACTGAAAACGGAGAGTGTGGGACATTTGTTCCAGCCAAAGGATAAAGCGATATAATACAGAGACGATGACATGCTCAAACGCAGACATATTGTTGCTGCCATCCACCGTTGTTGTGTGTCAAAAAACCAGGTTTTCAGCAGAAGCCAAAAAACCATGTGTGTCACAACGCGGTGGAATCAGGCGCTCGTCAATTTTTGGGCATATGGTGTTATCGGTGTCATCTTACAGGGTGTTTATTTGCCTTGCTTGCGATGAGAAAAAATATCCATTTGTCTTGTGCAGAAGTGGAGATATTTGCAATTGAAGGAGGTGGGGGCGCCTGGTTCCTGAAGAAAAATTAGTGAGAAAATGGCCACCAAAGTTTGGTGACTTCCATAGCTTAAGATGAAGAGTCCTTGGAAACTGGAAATTCCCATAGTTTTTGTGCCTTTAGTCAACGTTTTTCCATAAATCCACACATGAAAGTGTTTTTGAAAGGACGAACAAGATGTGGAGCCCCCAAAAAATGAAAAAAAATGTCCAAACTGGCCGAAAAATGCCAATTTTTCTGATTTCATTATTTTGACGAGCGCCTGATTTCACCACGATGCCTCACATTTCATTTTAGGTAAAACTTTGTTAATACAAAATTATGTTCAATGTAACGCTTAAATCTGTTACTATTTTAAGAAGAGGAATGAAACTGGGACCAATGGATGCCTCTCATCAAACTCTACAACATACATAATTTTCAATTTTTCGAAATTTTGACAAGCAACAATGACGGATGACGGCGATGATATGAGAGCTCCCTTTCACAGTTAAAATGTGTGTGTGTGTGTGTGTATGTGTGTGTGTGTGTGTGCATGTGTGTGTGTGTGCGTGTGTGTGTGTGTGCATGTGTGTGTGTGTGCGTGTGTGTGTGTCTTCCACTCAGTCATTCTGACAGAAACTGTACATGACATGGAGGAAGTGAGGGGTATTGAGAGGGATATTGAGAGGGATATTGAGAGGGATATTGAGAGGGATATTGGGAGGGATGAAGTGAGGGGATTTGTGTGGGGAGCTGAACAAGATAAGGCACTCGGAATATCAAAATTCATCACACTCGCATTGCATCTCTCTCAAGTTGAAACTCATTAAACAAATGGAAAACATACAAAAGCATCTTGTCTGATTTCATTCATTACAGAAATGGAAAATATTACAGTATTTTGTTTGTTTCATTAATTACAGAAACGGGAAACATGAAGGCAATTCATCTGATGTCATTAATTACAGAAAGATGATTTTTACAACCCTATTCATGATTTGTTTGACAAATTGCATTGATCTGAAGGCATCCAAAACATTTTTTAAAACATGAAAGACGTTCCGAGAAAAGAAAAGAATCATATACAAAAATGTACATGTTCACACAGCTTTTGTGAATTCACTACAGCACACACACACACACACACATCACACCTCAATACTTCTTACACGGAATAATAACAAGTAATTATATTTTACACCCCAATCAACTCAATTTGGACTATTTTAGAGGCCGCTGCTGTGACCATGCCAGGCATTGTCAACCCTGGCTTCTTTTATTTATTTTTAAAAAAATGATGTTTCCCATCCCCCACCCATCAACAGAATTTAAATCATTTAGAAGGACAGTCGGGCTTCCTACCCTGCCTGTCATTTAGAAGGACAGTCGGGCTTCCTACCCTG